CGGGGCCATGGAGCCGCTCTGGCTTCCGTTGGTCTGCGAGCAGACGTTGTTGACCTTCGTGGCTTTGTTTTTGTGGTGGTTGTTGTAGACTTTGTACTTCATGAGGAGGATGAAGATGAAGACGAGGACGGAAGCCACGATGATGCCCCCGATGATGATGATCATGGTTCCTCCGAGAAACTGGGCGTGAAGCGACCGGCACTGTTTGTATTCCTCCTGCGTCGTGAACCGCACGCAGCCGATCGCCCTGGTTGCGGTCAAAGACGTCAACCCGTCGTCGTAGACGGCGAGAACGCAGAGGTCGTACTCGCGGCCTGCAACCAGATCAGTCAAGAAGAAGGATTTACTACCGGCTGGAATCATCCTGGAAGAGAAAATGAGCACAGTCAGCATCCGCGCTGACCCAGCCTCCGGAGACCTCTGCTGCCTCGCTGGGAGGGACCTGCGGGGCACCGGGGGAGCGTGGCCACCGGAGCGAGCAGCAGCAAGCCCTCGGTGGGGATGGAGGACGCAGAGCTGGGCAATGACAACATCATCTCTACCTTGGCCGTCTCAGACTAACACGGGCTGGAAAGCACACGCTCACCCCCGGCCAGAGGAGAAGCCACGCCTGATCTGCTGCTTTGATCTGCGTTATCTCGAATTTCCACAGAAATTTCCGCTCCACCACTGAGATGGAGTTCCTCGCCTTGGTGCAACCCCACCACTGATATTGACTTCTTCGCCTTGGTGCAACCCCACTACTGAGATGGAGTTTCTCACCTCGGTGCAACCCCATCGGTGAGATGGAGTTCCTCGCCTCGGTGCAACCCCACCATTGAGTCTTCTCCAGGCCACAAAGGTGGTGGAGAAGACTAATCACTTGTCATACTGTCTTCTCCTAGTAATCATCCATGGGACTAAGGACCCTACAGCGCTTAGACCGGAAAGAAAGAAGAGCCACACCTTCACCAGAACGTTCTCCAAACACACGGCTGCTACACCTTGATTTGTAACGGACTTTCTGCGGGTGTGAAGGAACAAACCCTCCCTTGTCGATGCCCGGACGCAGCAGGGGTTGGCAGGGACCTCTGGGGTCACCCAGCCCAGCCCCCTGCCCAAGCAGGGTCACCCAGAGCAGGCTGCACAGCACCGCGGCCAGGCGGGGCTGGAATATCTCCAGAGAAGGAGACTCCACAGCCTCCCTGGGCAGCCTGGGCCAGGGCTCCGTCACCCTCAGAGGGAAGAAGTTCTTCCTCGGGTTCAGCTGGAGCTTCCTCTGCTTCAGTTTGTGCCCATTGCCCCTTGTCCTGTC